CAATGTACACTATGATTATATTTCACCGAAAACATTGTATTTAACCTCTATTAAAACGTTTTTTAAAATTGAAAATTACCAATAATGCACCCGATATATCGATATATCGATATTCATTTTATTTACAGAATTTTTGCAAAGCGCTATATATATATATATGTATGTATATATATAAAGGTTCAAACGCTAGGGCGAGGTCCTGAATTCTAATGCAAAACCGAGCCCGTGCGTCTGAACTGGTTTTAAAAATCAACCACGCCCTTAATTTATTGTTTGATGTAGGTTCTAAATTCTTCGGAAACCCAGATTCTTAAAGCCGGGGGTGGAATTGATATCAACAGGGGAGAACGGGGCTGAATTATAAACCCGGGATAGGTTTTTAATTACACGGATATATTTTAAAGCTTATACAACCATAAGGTTTTGTATGCGCATCGGTGCGACGGCACTTTTCCCAGCTCTTGAAAATCCTGAAATTTTCATCTCTAAACCTTCACAATTTGTCTTTTAAATGGTGGAAATCAACTCTTTACCAATTAGAAGTCTATTTAAGGACGAAAAATGGCCAAGATACCGCGGAACAAGGGCAGGAAAGCAAGTAAAAGACCGAGATTCACGCCAACACCCAATCAATGTCATCTCTTTAGGAGCAGTAATGATGAAAAGGTAAATCTTTAGGAGCAGTGAACCATGTCCCGACCGCTACAAGAACAAGTCACACAAGTCGCAATATTGACAATCTTATTACGGTTTCTACTAACTCCCAATCTCAAAATTCTAAGCTCAATTTTGTTCCTTCTGGAATGAGCACGTGTATAATGCCGTTAAGAAAGTTAAGAAACGTTTATACTTTCTAAGCCAACTGAAACGAGCTCAAGTTAAACCCAAAGATCTTACAACCTTTTATATCACATGTATAAGATCAGTGATGGATTACGCATGTCCATTATTTCATAATAGCCTGCCACAATACTTATCTAAAGATTTGAAATTTTGCCAGAAACGAGCTCTACGTATTATCTATCCATATGTAAGCTACGATCAAGCTTTGAGAGAAACAGGCTTAAAGTCCTTGTATAAGAGGCGAGAGGAACTTACTTCTAAGTTATTCAATGACGCATGTATACCTGCCCACAAACTAAACAAGCTTTTACCAAAAGAATTTGCGTGCTCGTATAATTTACGAAGAACACGATCATTTACCAATCCTAAGACTTCAACAAAAATGACTCAGTTAAGCTTTATAAATTTTAACGCATGCTATTCATACTTAATGTAATTTACTAAACATAGATTTTAAAGTACATATATCTTTYTTATAATTTTAAATTCCTATTTTAAATCGAATTTATAGTCATCAATAGCCTTATACTTGTAATTTTAAGTTATTCGTATTTTATTCATTATATTTCTATGTAACATAAACGCAATTCAGCCTATAGGCTGCAATGTTTTCTGAATAAAAACTATGCAAAACTGTGCACGTGCAAAAAAAAAAAAAAGAAAAAAAAAAGGAGATGGATGAGCGGACCTAAAGCTTTTGTGTGTGTGTGTGTGTGTGTGGCTGGGTAACTAAGAGTACGGACTTCCCCAACACAGTCGAGGACGGTTGTTGGTGGTTGGGACGGTCGGTTTACTATTATTTAGTCTCTAAGAATCTAAAGGAAAAGTGGAAATAAGCTGCAACCTGTTTTGAACGACAGTGTCGAAAGCAGCGTTGATACCATGGTACTGATCAATGTCATCGAATAACTCAATCTGGAACTCCAAACTCCAATTCCAATTCCGGTCAGGATTTTGGCATAGGTAATTAAGTTGTCGCGACGAGGCTTTATAAACGTTCAATCGCACGGGAATTTTATAGCTGGCTTTACAGCGCCTTTCATAATTACGCGAGCTCGCCAAATTTGAGAAGGGGTTAGCACGTGCTACCTACATCTGGTGGCCCGCATCTCCTGGCCCCACACGCATCTCCTGGCCCCTTGGCCATAACTCCGGAACGATGCATGCTACGGTAACGAAACTTGGTAGCATTGGTGAGACTTGTGTTGTCAATCATCAGACCACGTGACATGACGTGACGTCACATATCACCTGACTTGCGAATTATACATTTTCGCCGATCTTCCTCGCGCCAATAGTCATTACAATGAATGCTATGGTAATGAAACTTTGTAGAAAGGATAACTCGTGTTGTCAATCATCTGAACACGTGACATGACTGACGTCACATCACGTGACTTGCGAAATTTTGTATGTAATCATGGCATTAAACGAAGAAATATTCACTTTAAAGACCTTGAGCAGTTTTTACGATGCTAATTGCGATCATTCAGACTTTGACAATGACCATTCAAACAAAACCTTTCGGTCCTTCTCAAACCTACAGTTTTATATTAGTGGTGCGATAACAAGACGTTTTATAAACACTTAAATTTTATTACGCGTTTACTAAAATCAACTAAATATTCCATTTTATCGAATTTTATTAAATCTATAGCTGTATTAATAAATATGATCGATATTCTGCAGCCTAAATATGTGTGCAATGCAAAAAAAGTTAACGTCTTTCTAAGCTCATTTTAATAAGATCATCAATCTTTCTAAATAAAGCGAATAAAGTAAGCATAAAGAAAACGATAATTTACTCTCGTTATGACTGTAACGGTAGTGTTGTTCTTCTAAGTCACGTGGTATGTGACATGCCTTGTCACGTGGTCAGATGATTGACAACATGGGTCAACGAGATGCGAGTCCACCAGATGTAGGGTAGGATGGGGCCACCAGAGGTATGTGGAAGCGAGTCCGATTAACAAGTTTTATAAATAATTCATGATTACATACCATAATCGGCGATAATGTTTGGTTGTTAAGCCATGTGACATGTGATGTCACGCCATGTCACGTGGTCAGATCATTCACATCACAAGTTTTGCCCATTTCAGACCAAGTTTCGTTACCATAGCATTCATTGTAATGAGTTTTCGCAAAAATCGGCGAAAATGTTTTGTTCGTAAGTCACGTGGTATGTGACATCACGCCATGTCACGTGGTCAGATGACTGACAACTCAAGTCTCACCCATCGTACCAAGTTTCGTTACCATAGCATTCATTGTAATTTCCTACATCAATAGACCAGAGCTTTATTAAGATGGCAGTGAAATTTCTACAGCTCGTCCTATTCAAGTCTTGGAGAAAGCGTTTTTTAAAGTGTGGTGTACCTAAAGAGCTCACCCCGCTAGAAATAATTAATTCAATATCGGTCGACAACAACGCTCTCGGACATTCCCTAATTTTAAATTGGGACAGGTTCGGCAGAATATCTGCATAAACACAATGACATTGTAGGTGTTGTTATGTCGTCGTTATGCAAATATTCTCCCGAAGTTAATCGTGTGGAACGACATGAGAGTTGTCGACCGACGAGGTTAGCTCTTGAGGTTCACATTGTGACAGCCTTGTGACAATTATCAAAGTGATTGATTTGGGATGGAGCTGCGTATCACGTACCAGAAATTAATGTCTACGCATGTTCTTTTTTCGTTAGTTTCTGAGATTCTAGGCTAAGCGAAGGATTAGGAACAAGAAGCACGTATAGGTGTTCCCTGGGCTGCCTGTGTCATGCACAGAGGCCCAGTACAGCTGAAGAAGTTTGCAATTTTGATAAAATGATTTTGCAATAGCAAACAACAAGGTTCAATACCATGGCAAACAGTTTTAATAGCAGTCAACTTTATATAATGATTTCTTCGAGAAAATAATGGATGATAAAGTCATACCCACTCTTATTGCAGGCACAATTGTCTCCAGATAACATTTCATGGTTGCTGCGTGTGCCTTATCATCCAAGTTTTTGGATAACAACTCGACGCATGCTCGTATAGAAAAGTGCCGAGTCCGGGCAGAGGTTTCTTTCTTAACGATCGCTCAGAACAACAAAAGATAGTAATGCGAAAAGATTCAACAACAAAAATAGAAATAAGAAAAGGAATCTCACCTAGTAGGGTAGCAGTCACCTTAAAAGATAAACATGCTTAATTAGATGATACGCGCATACTTGGATCCAGCGTGTGCTTTTGTAATTGCTTCCTTGGTAACGAAAAAAGCACCTTCATCATGCTAAGTTGTAACTACAAAATTGTGAGCAAAATAAATAAACTTGCTATTGATATTTGAAATATTTGCACATTCAGATGGCGACCAAGGAATATACAGACGAGGAGCTCAACTACTTCCGTCTATGTTACGTCTTCACGCATAATGTACCCGAGGGATTACGAACAGTTTTCAAGCAACAATGGAACGCGCGTTACCAGACTACACTCGGCGATTGGCTTGATGAACCCAAAAATGCAACTGATTTCTGCAACATGGAATCGTCTAAAAATCAAAAACGTAATAAAAAGCTTCTCGCTGTCATGGCAAACGGTAACACTAAAGATTGGGACTGCACTTGTCTCTTTTATGCTCTTCTTTTCTCAGATTGTCTCGGGCCATTTCTAAATACCACTGTACAGACAAACGTTGACGAACTGAGAGAAATCCGCAATGAACCTTTTGCCCACACTGCTGATGGAAGTCTTACAGACGTGGATTTTAAAGACACCATGCGGAAAGTCTTGGCTGCTTTTAAGGCGTTGGGGCTGGATACGACGGAAGTGAATGAAGTGAAAACCCAGAAAAGCTTTCCAACAGAGGAACTAAGTAGTATTCAACAACAGCTAAATAATGAGAGGAAACTTTATGTCAAATTTCATTCCTTCTGTGTCTTACCACCCAAACCTTCCCATCATACCACTGATCGCGCAGATGAAGTCACGACAATACATCACGAGATGGAAAAGTTGAGAAGCACAAAGAAAAATGAGACGACGGTCATCTACTTGTCTGGTAACCCCGGATGTGGAAAGAGTGAGATTGCCAGACAGATTGGAAATAACTACTTCAACAAAATCCCTGAAGATACAACCCATCTTAAGTTCGTATTCACATTCAACGCATCCACCTTCGACACGCTTCTGGGATCGTACGTGGATTTTGCTGCCAGACTCAACTGTGACGAAGACTCTGTTACAAGAATTGCGACATCAAAAGACCTCCGTCCAGAAAAGAAAATCGAAAGTATGAAAAGTTTGATCAATCCAAAAGTGCAGATTTATTCATCGTGGCTGATTATTGTGGACAACGTGAATGATTTGAAATCAGTTTCAAAGTACTTGCCTCAAGCGGGAGAAAAGACAAGTGGTGATGGTCAAATCCTCGTCACCACTCAAGACAGTCAATCCATTCCACTTGACTACTATACATATCATTATTCATCTCTCAAGGTAGGGATGCAAGAAGAAGACGCCATCGCATTACTTTCCCAAATCTCTGGTACTACGAGTGATCGAGACACTTTACTTAACATTGCCAGTGCTCTTGATTTCCAACCGCTTGCTTTGGCATGTGCAGCTATTTACGTGCAGCGAATATTCAACTCTACTGACCAATGTAAAACCAAATGGGAGAACTATTTGCTCAAACTACAAGAAGGAAAGCGTGAGGCAACTGAAGAGGTTTACAAAAGGACCACTTTGACATATCGATCAGCAATGACGGCTGCTGTCAGGCTTGCTCTTGAGAGAGTAGTAATTGAAGACAAGATTATGATGCATGCTTTTCAGTTCCTGTCAGTCATAGCTAATGAACCAATACCATTGAAATATGTTGTGCAATATGTAATGAGCTGTATGCCTGATGAAGACCATAACGTTGTAGCTGCTCATATTAGTTTGAGTTCGCTGGTCATTTTATCTGAAGATGTAGAAATCTCAAAAGTAATTCGTGTACATCAAGTGGTTTACCATGGCCTGCAGAAATTGTTGGACGATGATGAAACGGATATTTTACAACTGATGTCAGTGTTTTCAGATCTTGTTTCTTTTAAAAACGTTGACGATGTAACCAAGGCAGAATTCATCGCCACTCGATCGTTTACGCCACATTTTGTGGTTATATCAAGGAAACATAAGCTGCGTCTATTGCATCATTCCATCTTACCAGCAAAATCTCTCAATGCCGCTGACTGTTTATTCAAAGCAGGAAGTATCTGTCTTGTGCAGGGAAAGTACGAGGCCTCTGAGATATTCCTAGAAATATGTCTGTCAATCCAACAACGTGCATACCGTAGTGGTCCAGAAATGGCTCAAGACCAAAACTTCACGACCTCAGATATCGCATTAATGAATAAATCGCTCAAAGATAAGCAAAGCCATCTTGAGGGGAAACTGAGTAGTGCTGAGGTAAGCGTTGCCTTGGCCACTACATTAAAACGTCTGAGTGACTTATATTTTTATTTGAGGAATTACGAAAAAGCAAGAATACATCTTGAGAAAGCACTGGTAATCGAAGAGAGGTTGCACAGAGGAGATCATCCGGAACTGGTTGATACGTTAAATTACCTGGGTGCCTGCCTCATGCATCTTGGGCAACACGAAAAGGCAGAAGCATATTTACTGAGAGCCCTGGCGATCCAAGAAAAATGTCCAGGTAAAAACAATACCCTCTTGGCTGATATATTAATGAACTTGGTCACGTTAGTTCAGCAGTTAAGTCCTGGAGAAACTGAAAGAGCAAATATGTACTTTGAAAAAGCAGTAACGATTAAAAAAACTGCAATTGATCAAAATGATACACAACCGCTGTTAATGGATAACCTTGATTTCTGCCATCAATATCAAGAACTACACAACAAGGCTAAAGCGTACTATGAGAGATCTGTCCCTTCGTGAGAAAGGAGACGAAAATTATATTGGCTAGTACGCTAAATAACCTCGGTGCCTGCCATAAAGAACTAAAACAACACGAAGAGGCCAAAGTATACTTGAAGAGAGCACTGTTCAACTGGCTACTACAATAGAAAACCTTTTATTGATTTCTGTTGTATTGAGCCAAAAGAATACGACAAGGCCAAAGTATACTTCGAGAAAGTACTGTCCACTCGCGAGAAAGGAGACAATGAAAATGATCCACAGCTGGCTTGTACGCTAAACAACCTCGGTTACTGCTATATTGACCTAAAACAACACGACAAGGCCAAAGTATACTTTCAGAAAGTACTGTCCATTCGTGAAAAAGGATATAATTAACAATAATTTATTACACTCATATCGCGCAATTATCAATATTTAACAGTATCACAGTACCATAGTATCACAGCATCACAGTGCCACAGTGCCACAGCACCACAGCACCACAACACCACAACACCAAAACCACCGCACCACAGTACCACAGTACCACAGTACCACAGTACCACAGTACCTGGTTTTATAAACCGCTTGGCCTACTGGGGAAATAGTAATACTATAAGTAAATGGAATTCCATCGACATTTGGCGCAGTTTTCTGCATATAAGAAGACAAACGTATTTCATCTTGGGCGATTATTCTGTGAAAGTGAACCGTCCAAAATTTGCATTTTGAGCATATCGGATGCAAGCGTACTGCATGACACTTCACTTCTGTTTGRACCATTGTGCTCTAACAAAAATGTGCTTGGAACAATGAGAATTGATCAAGTGGTAAGATGCCATCGGTTTAAGAAGTCTAAATTTTCACAAAGTCGCATTTCGTACTATCCAAATTCGATCGCGAGTAAGCAGCTCTTACTCCTGTCTGGTGATGTTGAACAGAATGCTGGATGGTGGGTGAACATAACTGATACCAAGTCTATCAATGCTGATACCGGACAATATTCGAACTTATCTCTGCAGTCTTCTGAGGACGGAAATGCTGACACTGATAGATCCAATGTTTATCCTATACCTGTACGGATTTCCAATAGAATGCGTATTAATTACTGGACTTCCATACAGCCGCACTGGACTTCTCACCGCAATGTAATCGCTATACCTCGTACTCCTTTGGTTCCTCCATTTCAGCCGTGAAAGCCATTGACTTTTGCCTTCTTAATGTAAGATCTATTAAGAACAAGGCAATAATCTTGAACGACTATGTTGTTGAAAACAAAATTGATGTTATGGCATTTACAGAAATATGGCTAAATCCAGGAGAAACTGATAATTTAATTGCTACACATGATTTAACACCTAGAGGATACTGTTTAAGCATTCTGCAAGAAATGGTCGTGGTGGAGGAGTTGGTATTTTGTTAACACATCCTCTGAAGTTGGAATTGAAATCCAGTTATAGTTTCAAGTCTTTCGAGCATACTCAGCATCATTAAGACATGGCTCTCAGATGAAAAACTGTTTAGCTATATCATAGCCAGTTTTCTACGAATCTTCCCCAAACTTGGCAAGTTAGTGTCTTTTGTGAAAAGAAGGAACCTTAGAGCCTTAGTTACCATGGAAACTAAGTCACGTGACCACAAGACCGCCATCTTGGATTTTTAAACAAGCCGTTTGAAAACGTACCGAAACATCTTTAAAAGTCATGAAAATGCAGATTACTATACATATTTACAATGCCTATATGGATCTAATTGGATATCTTGGAAATTATTTTAAGTTTAATTTTTAGAATATTTTCTATTTTTCCCAAAAAATTAAAAATATTTTAAAAATTAAACTTAATGTAATTTCNGCACCACAGCACCACAGCACCACAGTACCACAGTATCACAGAAAGAGTTATTCAAGACTTTAGACTCTGTTCTTAAAGGTAAAGTTGAATATAAATACCCATCTTGTAGTTCCACGAAAGAACCGGCAAATAATTTTGCTGAATTTTTGATACTAAGACTATAAGCATCAGGGATGACTTGACATCATTGGCCGTGGGCCCCACCAATCATTTCTCGGATGATATCCTTCACGAGAGTGAGGTTTTTACCAGTAAGTGAAGCTGAGATGAATGGATTAATCGGTAAAATTGTTCGAAAATTATGTCACCTTGATCCAGTTCCATTGATTGTCAAAGAAATATTAGATGATATACTGGAAAGTCATTACAAAGATTGCTAACATGTCTATCTCCAGTGCTACAGTACCATCTCGTTTAAAATATGCCTCACTCTCACCATGTCTAAAGAAGGCTACGCTTGGCAGCGAAGATTACGACAGTTTTGGTCAAACTTGACTTTTCTCTCCAAATGCATCGAAAAAGTCGTGGCTATACTCAGTTATGTAATCATGTCCAGGACAATAATCTAAATGAAGTCTTACAACCAGCTTACAAGCGTTATCATAGCACAGAAACAGCACTGATTAAGGTACAAGATGATATCCTGTAAGCTATAGACAACAAACGTGCTGTGATATTGCTGCTATTAGATCTTTCTGCAGCTTTTGATACCGTGGTCGACACATCGTCAATGTAAATGGTAGTTAGTCATCAGAACGGATGCCTTCGTTGCGGCGTGCCTCAGGGGARTGTTTTAGGACCGGTGCTTTTCACGTTGTACACAAGTCCACTTGGTGACGTCCTGAGACATCATAAGGTAAACTTTCATCTGTATTCCGACGATTGTTACGAACCAAAAGGATTGAAGTCACGACTATTAGAGTTCAAGTCAAAACTATATATCTTAACTATATATCTATATCTTAATAATACCTTATAATCTTTATCTATATCTTTTATTTACTCAGTATTAAGGTAACTTTTTGTAGAATACCGTGGGAAATTCCCACGGGTTTAGAATGTAAAAAGGGTAGATCTGAAACATGTGAAGTAGATGAAGTAGACGAAGAGCTRACGAATCGAATCATTCGTGCTCAATTTTCAGAAGTGATTTTTTTGATCAAGTTTTAAAATCTTTTCGCTCGGTTCAAGACGTTACGAAAAGACTCCTCTCATTTCCAGGCTTTACAACATTAATAGAGTGCAATACATATTTGCCTAGATACTATCAATTCTTATCTGCACAGCCTACCACTATGACATGTCCAAGAGCTTATCGGAACACTCTCAATGAATGTAAGAAATGGGCATTACAAAATTGTTATCGATTAACGATAGATGAGGTCAATTGGTTGAAATCAAAAACTTGATGGCAAAGATCTAATTTGTCGTGTCTTTGTTGTAATTTTCGCGCGCTTTATAATGTATGCGGATATCATGTATGCAAATTGTGTTGTAAGAGCGCCTCGTGGGACGAGACCGGCTAGGATACCACGAATTTTTGTTTTATATATTTTTTCTATTCTTTCCTTGGAATAAAGTTGATTACTGTAACCACATAATTGGATGTGTCATGGTGGTACGCTGGGTTTAGTTAGGGCCATTTACACAGCTTCTGGTCATACTTTCCAAAGTACTCAAGTAGAAAATTTAAAAAACACTTTGAGAATGATAGCTGATGCGATGAGCTTTTCGCAACACTGAAATTACGCGACGAATCAATCGAAAAGTTGTTTATCTTTTTAAAAACACCGATCTCATGAACACAAAACTAGAAACTTTGGCAGACGATTCATAGACAAAACATTCTCTGTTTGGTCMCAGAAATTACAACAATTTTCAAATACAGTACGTTGTCATGAAAGTTTAATGATGGAATTTCTGTTAAAATATTCAGCTGACTGAGGTTAGTAGGACTTTTTCTTCTTTGACTAGACTTTTTGAAATCCAGGTTACCGTGAATCAGATTCCAGCATGAAACATAAACATAAGGGTCTGATTGGATTTTCTAGTTTACTAAATTTTATGACTTCACAGTTAGCTAGTCGATTGAAAATAGATCCTGCAATGGCGTTGATCAAATCTTTAGAGTCTGGTTTATCAGTGTTGGCTAATCCTTTGATAGATTTAGAACATRATGGTGAAAATTTATTTGTGAATAATCTTTTAGTCGCACCAGAAATAACGAGTAAGAAATCATTTTGTGTTGTCGAATATCTGACACTCGTGAAATAGAATATCTCAAACAACTGTTATATTGGGCCAGTTAAGCATAAAAATCTTGCGTTATTAACATGTCCAAATGTAAAGAAAATAATTACAACTGAAAGATTGAAACATGTCCAAATGTAAAGAAAATAATTACAACTGAAAGAAGGATTCTTATGCCCTGATGATGTCCTAGATAGTGTTAGTGAGGTAGAGTGGTTGGGATTTCCCTGGAACAAAGACTTCAAACTGACCTTTGCAAGAAATCATCAGTTAACTCCTGATTGTGAGAACTTACATCCGTTAATTCACTTGGGTGGACGGTATTTTCTAWCAACTACCACGCAGACGTTGAAAATGAACACTGGGAAAGTGAAGATTTTTCCTCTCACTATTTACCACTTCACGTGCAATGTAACATTTGTCGGCATCCAAACAAGTTGTCTTGTTGTCCTGAACCAATGAGTATGTCACTTCCGTTGTTTGGGCAAGATACCWTTACTAATGTTAAGTGRGACYCTTCTTTRGACGACAATTTATTGCAACTACATCACAAGTCACTTAGCATCCCACCATCAATAACGATTAATAAAACGCTGATCACAGAGCTTGAACAAGAAATTAGTTGGTATGACAATCAACTGAC